CCCCAAAACCCCAAAACCCCAAAACCCCATTGATTGGCTAGATTATTGAAAAACCTCAAAAGTCAGCATGATTCAGATTATTGCTACGACCGAGAGCTTCGAGAAAGTAAAAGCATCGTCACAAATTTCCTCAATATCTTTAAATATAGTCAAACTCTATTTTAGAATTTCCATTCATGCTAGCTCTGTTTTATTATGGAGCAGGTAAGCATAATTCTCTGCCTTTAATTTCTTACACCTCCTATCTTTATATAACTTTGGATCATTACATTCACCCCATCTTGATGCTACATTTCAATCATTTTTGGTTGCACCAAAATAGGTTTTGAAGGCTGTTCTTGCGTCTTCCCATTCCTCATCACCAGCTAGGACGTCTCATTACTTCTTACCAGTGCTGCTCCATCCTCATGATCACTTAGCAAAGACTCCAGTTTTATCAGAAGGGCAATCAGTATCAGCTGTACATTCCTTGCCTTTTTCCAAAGATAGATTACCGTCTTCACAAATTCCTGTATCTGTATTATAATACTGGCTTTGACAGAGTAAATGGCTATCAGCCTCGTTCTGAGTATAGGTTCCAAATTCATTCTAGACTTTATTTGTGGAGTCTCCACTAGAGATCTGGAAATAATCTTTACATCTTCCATTAACTCCAGAATAGGTATTTCTGTACCAACAAGTTGCTGTCCTACAGTATTCATGGCGATGAGTGCATTCTTGGCCAATTTCTTTAAATTTAGTGCATGTGCCATCAAAGGAAGTCCCTGAACTTCCTGCACAATATTGGTGTGAGGGGCAATCTCTTGACTCAGAACATTTTCCGTTGTGGCCTACTGACTCACAAACTCCATCTTCTCATTTCTGAGTGCCATATCTGCATTCTTCTGTCCAACTGGGGTAGGAGCACTTTTCTCCTGGGAATTTAGCACATAAACCAATAAATTTGAGGTTATATACTGAGTGCGTTATAATAGTTAAGTCTTCTGCAGACACCTGACTAATTATCATTAATTTCGCATCTTTGCACATCAGCATCTCACTGGTCCGATGTCAAGATTGTGTAGTCTATATTAAGCTACATCAGCGATTTTCTAATGAAAATTCACACCTGTGTTACTCTTAGTCGCACATTTATTCCGTTGGGTTTCACAGTTGACACTGTAGCAGGATTCCCCAGTGGCGGGACTGATGATACTGAGCAGGGTTCAGATTATCAGAGCTGCTCAAGAGGATTTGAAAGCAAGGATTGTCATTTAATCAATTATTATAAACCCAAATGGGGTTTTGGGGTTTTGGGGTTTTGGGG